AATAAAAACTATTATACTTACTTTATTAAAAATTTTCTGTTAAGCTATATTTGAATTATTATATGTTAAAATAATTTAAAAAATGTAAGATTTGTTGTATTTTGATAACTTCAAAATAAGATTCTCTTATCTGATAAAAAAGATAAAATTATGAGCTGTATTTCAGTATTATTAATATCAATAAATATTAAAAAATAGTGATTTTGAATCCATAATACATATGCTAACATGGACCATTAATCATGTTGAAAAAGTAATGTATTTTCGAGATTTGCTACTAAAATCGAGTTATGAACCTTAATAACAAATCTCCTATTCATTTCTTAATTACTTTTTTTTATTTTTTTTTATTCAATTAACGCAATTAACGGTAAAATTTTTTTTTTCTAAACATTGAAAAAAAAATTTAAAAAGAAAATTAAAAAGAAATATATTTTTTTTATAATGAAATATATTTTATTAATTGTTTTTTAAATGTTTTTATTGTAACAAGAATATTGCTATTTATTCAATAAATATATTATATTACTGTACATTTGATTTTTTTTTTTAAAAAAAAAAAAAAAAAAAAAAAAAAAAAATAAGAAAAAAATATAATCAGCATCAGTTGGATAAAGCAAGGATTTATTTATTTCTATACTATTTCTTGGAATTTATTTTATGTCCAAAGTTATATATATTTATATATCAGTATACTTTAAATTTTTTTAAAGTTTGCTATATCTTTACTTTTCTTAACTATGTATTATAATTCAACAACCATCATGTAAACCAGTACCACCGAAAGCAGCGCCAGTAGCAATAGCTTGAATATTACCACTTGCTGTTAACCGGGCAATTAAAGGATCAATAGCTTCAATGTAATAGTATAATTTTTATTAGTATTGCAAAGACTAAAACATAAAAATTTGACATAAATTGTAAAAAAAAAAAAAGAAAATTGGCATATTGTGAATTCCAACTTCAAACGAAATCAATTTCAATGACAGTTTTTGTATCCAGATAAAAATTTTACTTCGTAATTATTAAAAAGAGATAAGAAATACTGAAGATAGATTTTCTATGGAAGGTTATGATGTATTTCAGATAATAACATGAATAATTATATAATTTTAGGAAGCGAAGATTTTTTTTTTTTAAAAAATATAAAAATCATATTTTCTATTTTTTTTTTTTTAATTATTTAGCGAGAGATAAATATTCATTTACTTATCGGATTTTCATATTTATTGAAGGATAGGTCATTTAAACAAAAAAATGACTTCATTACACCTTTAATGATAGCGAAATTTCCACGAGGTTTTTTACATCTTATTCTGAATTCAAGAAAATGATTGACGATACATATCCTCAAGATTAACTGGACTTTTTGTAAATAAACTTCGATTAATATTTATAGGCAGCAAATGAGAGAGAAGTAGGTAAATACTTATCGGTAATTGAATAATTTAAAAAATTTAAAAGTTTTTGTGTAAACATTTTACAATTATATCGTATGTAGAAAATTGCCGGCAATTTTATTTGTTACAAAAAATAATATTTAAGACTATTTGTTATTCACAACCAACTTACATCTCTTAATAACGCACAAGCCATTCATAAAAATCTCAGCAAAACAAGTCAATTTAATAAATTAAAAACCACCTACCACTTACTGAACCCAAATCGACCAAACTGAATAAGAAAAAATTAGAATTAATTATAGTAAAAAAAAAAAAAGTCTAAAAAATAATAAAATAATGAAAAAATGAAAAAATGCCTAAGTAGATTCTCTCCATCACGAACCGAAAAAAAAAAAACTTTAAAAAAATAAAATATAATAATTAGGAAAAAAAAAATTTTTTTTAAAAAAAAAAAAAAGCCTCATTCAAAAATAAAAATAAGAATTAAATTAATCAAAAGAAATGAAAACTAACAGTACCAGATTTTCCATCTCGTACCTAAAAATGAATCATGATAAAAAAAACTTTAGTATAGTGTTGTATTCAGTTCTTCGTTTATGTATTTATAAACAATTTTAATTGTAATCAGAAGGTTTTTATTGAGTAAATGAAGTAATGTCGACGCTCTGCACTTTCGCAATGTCAATATATTAAACTAAATAAATTTACGTCAATAAAACTACTCTAATTAATTAAAACTGCGCAATTACGAAAAATTGTGTAATAAAATTATAAGAAAAATCGGAAACTAAAAATAAATGAAATTACAAATATGAAATTATAATGTTAAAACGGCGAAAACTAATATATCGCGAAGGGATAAAGGAAAGTTTTCTAAGGTGTATTATGAAATATAAGAAGGACGAACGTAGAATGTTGAGCTGTTTAAGGATTCTCAGCTCGTATTTATAATAAAAAATAATTATTAGGACAGCATGGGCATCCTGCCATTTTGTCCCTGGCAACCTGGCCGTGACAACCTTGTCAAAATGATCTATGGTGTCTCTGGGCGGAATTATATTTAATGTAGCAATAGCGATAAGAAAAATAAATAAATAAATAAAATATAAAATATGTATAAATAACTTTTGTAGTATACTGCTTCGGGGTACGAATCTGAAAACTGCAAATTCTATTAGTTCGGTTATATTAGGTCGGTTGTGTAATTCTACTTCTATTTTCATTTCAGAAATCTGTGGTACACGTACATGAAATAAAAGCAATTCCTCCTTGTTTTTGTCAAAAAATTAAAAGAAATGGAAGGAAGCTCAAGCCAGGTAAATTAAAATTAAACTTTAAGAATCCAATATTAAAATTGGTTACATATTTATATTATTAATTAATAATAAAATAGAGTGGAAGTTCTAAAAGACCTGCGCCACGAGACATGAACATTTTATCTCAAACGGAATCCAATTATATCCTTCTCAGTTTAGAAGAAGAAGGTTATATCACGCCAGATGAAAAAGTAGAACAACTTTTAACAAAATTGACAAAATCAAGATTTTTATATGCTCTAAAATTACTTTTTGAAAACCTACAAAATGAATTTTCATCTCAAACTTTAGCAGATTCATTAAAAAGTTTGGCCAATCCTACATTATTTGACCATCATTCAATGGAAATCGTTACAAGGTTGGAATTACACTTACGAACTTTGGTAGCAGCTTTGGAACAGATATGCTTTTCGCAGATAGTTCTTGGCAAAGAAATTCGAGATAAAATTTACGATTCTTTAGCAAAATTTGCGGAATTTCATAGTAAAAACATACAAGTTATTGAAGAAGGACTTGTTAGCAGCCTTAAGACAAAGTACAATCCATCTAATCAACAAGATAACAAAGATAACAAGGGTATTGAAAAGCATAACTATAATATAAACTTTTTATTGATTTTTCTGCGCGATACACTACACAGTCTGCGTGATGATGAAACTTGGTTTCAAGAAATTTTAAGAAGAACTAAGACTTTGTTGAAGGCTTTTTTAAATATTGCACCAGGAATTACAAGTATTGTAGCACCCGGAATTGCTCTTCCAAATGATAATTGTTCAATCTTATCAATGCTGATTCAATTACGTCAAGGCTTAAGTTTTAAATATCCAATCGCGTCTTATTATATAGATTGGAGAATTATGTTGATAATTCGAAATAATCTTTTAAATTGGTCTGAAAGTGATGAAAGGATAATTGGTAGAAAGTTTGGCGAAAGGATCTTAATGGAATATCTTTGGAGTTTTCGGAGAGAGAGTGGAATAATGTTGTTGATAAAACTATGTTAGATTCTCAAACTAAATTTGATGAAGTTTCAAATAAACTCTTCAAGACATTAAGAAATACTGGAGGTTTTTTAAATGAACTTACTTGAAACGAACCATTCGCGTTACCAAATATGTTATGGTTTGGCATACTGGATCTTGCACAAAATCTCATTCAAAAATCTACTCAACCGGTTATACAAGGACTTTGTTATTATTTGGCAATTGAATCACTAAACAAAGCTCTAAGTAGTTTCATTCAATTTAAAGCAATTGAGATATTATTACACTTGCAAAATATAAACGAGGAATCGTTTTCAATAATGGAAATTGATTTCAATCAATACACGCAAAAATTATATGAAAACAATTCAAATAGTGAATCTTTGGAAAGATTTCAATGTTTATTATCATTTGTTAAAGAAAAATGTCATCAAGATTTAATTATGTTAAATGATGATATTGGAAAAGGAAAAGGAAAATCTTTAGATAAGAATACATATTTTAAACAAGAACAAACATTAAATTCCCGTAAAATATTGGATATTATCACAGATGAAATGACTTATCCTATTAGTCTTGGGCTGGAAGATCAATTTTATCTTTTAAAATGTCAACATAAGATATCATACAATATTTATAACAAATTATCACAAAAAAAGTGTCCTATATGTCAAGAAAATATTGAAAATAATGATGTCAAATACGTATCACAAAAAACTATTTACAAACATCTATATCCGTGCTTAGATGATAATGAACGTAATCTAAACTTTGAACAAACAAATAAACAACATGAGGACGATTCTGAGGATGATTCTGATAATTCAGAAGTTGATCATATATTAATAAAAAAGAAGAATCATATAGTGATTAATTTGAAATTAAATATATTACAACAAAAAAAACAACACACGGTTTATCAGAATGTTATAAATGAATTATTTAATAAAAATTATGAAAATGCTATATCAATAGGTCAAGTATATTTAAGAGAGTTTCATCATAATTATTCAATGAGATGTATTTTAGCTTATGCTTATAGATGTCTTAATAACTATAAGCAAGCACACTCATATTTAGATGAGGCTATTAGTCTAAAACAAAGAAAACCAATTGCGTATTTTATTCTTGGAGAAATACTCAGACAAGGTTTATATGATAATGCAATAAAGGTATTAGATAAATCAAAAAAGCTCATCCTTTTCATTTATTATTATCTCCAATATTTCTTTATCAGTAATTCCGCCTTCAAATTCATCACATCATCAATATGAATATAATCATCTGCGGTAAGATGATCAGTGGTTAATTAATCCTTCAAGTTCTTGCATTTCGTTTTCACTTAAAATAATAAATAATATTTAATTATATATATATATATTTTATTATTTATTATAAACAACAAAATATTAACATACTTATCAGAAACTGATCTGGAATTGGAAAACTTGCTTCTTGTGAAAGGATATTAGTTTTTCGCCAGCAATTTGCAATTGTTTCTGGTGATACCATAGACCAAGCTTCTGCTGCATTAAGTAAGGCATCATAAATATTATAATCTGCAAGTTCTTGTATTACATTATTTTGTAAATAATTATAAGCATTAATTCAATTTTTAATAAAGAGACGCTTATAGTGACACTTAAATAAATGAATAATTCTGGTATCACAAGGTTGAAGAGCTGTAGTAGTATTTAGTGGAAGAAATTCAACTTATATATTATCTAACTTTGCTTGAGTTTCATCAAGAATAATGTGAACAGGTGCATTATCAACTAAAAGAATGATTTTTCAATTTTTTTGTTTTATTTGATTATTGAATATAAGAAGAACCTCATTAAAGATACTACTAATTTACATCCAGGTTTTTTTATTCCAGAAATAATAAACAGGAAGATTTTTATAATTAAGATTTTTCATTACACGAGGTGATTTATATTAGTAAATAAAGGTAAAATTCATTGTTTCAGTACTAATTGAATTTGTAGCACAAAGTATTGTAACATGTGCCTTTTCTTTTTTATATTCAGCTACTTTAGAATGAGCCAAAGTTCGAGAAGGTTTCATTTTTCAAAAAAGACCAGTTTCATTAACATTCAAAATATCTTCAGATCGATAAGGTCTAAGTAGCTGTTGTAATATGATTCTATCATTTTCTAGTAATTCAGCAGAAGGAGCACTTGCTGATTTACCTTGCTTTTTAAATTGTCAAAGTCAATTTTTTTAAATCCAGTGAGTCAACCATCTGACTGGTTAAAATCATCAATATGAAGATTATTAGCAAAAACTGTGTTTTCATTTTAAGAATGTGACTGTCGATATCTTGATTTGACATAAGAGTATTATCAACTCAAAGACCAAGAACACTTTCAAGTTGTGGTCATTTAGGATTAAGAAATTTTTTTATATTTCCTTGCTCTTCAATTGTAATAGAAAGCCAACGCTCTTTTTCTCTTAAAATATCCATAATTGTTGACTTTCCAATATTAAATTTGTTGGCA